GCAGTGCCGTGGTCCAGCCCCGCTCGGTATCCAGGCTCTGGGCCCCTCAGACCCAGCTCAGCCAAGCCAGAGATGATGCTGAAGTGCCGTGAGGACTCCGGGGACACTCAGGGACTGGGCAGATGTGGTTTGGCAGGTGCTGCATGTGCCCTGTGCAGAATGCACCGGCTGGGACTGGAGGAGCAGATCTGCTCCTGCCTCTGCCCCACCGGCTCTGTGTGGGGGACAGGGGTGCCTGGCCGTGCTTTGGTAGCTGGATGTGCTCCTGACAAGGGCTGTGCACCCAGAAGAGCACAGGGGATTGCCCAGGGCAGCCAGGGGCTCATGGATGCTGCAGAGCCCCAGCTCCGAGGGTTCTGTGGTGCTGAGTGTCTCTGTCCCCCTGGGGCAGGTCCCAGGAGCAGCACAGGCTGGGGGCTGAGGTGGGTGCCTGTGGGCATCGTGCCCAGCTGTGGCTGAGGGCTGGAGACCCCACTGAGGCCATGGAAGGGGCTCGTCCACACCCCAGTGTGCCCGTGGGGCTGTGCCAGGTCCTGCCCTTGCCCAGGTGGGGGTGCAGAGTGGGTGCCAGGGATGGGTGGCACGGGACAGGGATCCATGGAGGGAGGTGTGAGCCCCCAGCAGGCAGCTCTGCAGGCACAGCCTGACCCTCCTCCCGGTGCTGGGGCAAGCCAGGCAACCTCAGGCCACTGATGCAGGACAAGGGGACAGGACACAAGGGGACAGGCTGTGACCTGGTGCACGGCGCCTTTATGTCCACTCCAAAGTCCCCTCCACCCTGCTGCTCTGCTGCAGCAGCTCATGTGCCAACCCCAGTGCCAGCCAGAGGGCATGGCACAGCTTTGGGACATGGCACAACTTTGGGACATGGCGCAGCTGTGGGGTATGGCACAGCCAGAGGGCATGGCACAGCTTTGGGACATGGCACAGCTGTGGGGTATGGCACATCTGTGGGACATGGCGCATCTGTGGCATATGGCACAGCTGTGGGGTATGGCACAGCCACAGGGCATAGCACAGCTGTGGGGTACAGCACAGCTTTGGGA